TTATCATTTCAGCCTGTCTGAGTCCACTGCTGAACATAGGCCTACCCCACAGACTGCCACGAAGTACGATCCCGAGCCACCTGCATCCAGCGACTTCCCGCGCATTTGCACAGTTCGTCACTCCATCTAGTGGGTGGTCGTCCCACATTACGATGGCCAGTTCGAGGCTACCACTCGAGAACCTTTCTTCCCCAGTTCTGCGAGCTACTTTTTCCTTTACTGTAAATTAAATACGGCCACATTGTACCTACCTCTGCGTTTATTAAATAGACCGACTCGAATTGGAAGGAAATCTTCGTAGAGACCAAGGAAGTGTATGGGCGTTTGAAACGATACTGATGTTCGAGGTATGGACCTCGATACGGAGCCGCCTCGATACCGATATGCCGTGATTACCACTTACATTAAGGTGACCGTTTTCTCCTTATCACCTAAAGTTGCCTGAGCTTAGTAAGTACTAACTTATTAATGTGTATTTTAGTCTTTAACAAATTAACATTAACTCTTTAAAACTGACCGGAACCGGGGTTAATAGTTGAAACTGGACCTCAAAAACACAGTTCACCCTGCGATTTATAAACGCTGCAAAATATTTGAGTACTCGGGAGTTGTATTTATTTATTTTGGATTACCAAGAAAATTACATGTACACAGAGTAAAATAAACATAAATTTTAAGGCAACATTTAGTCACAGCATTCAACAGGAGCATTTTTCGTGCTCACGGTGTAATCGTTTTTGACTAATCTATGATAAAGAAGTAACACAGTTTTATAATAAATAAACGGCGATATTAAGATCAGTCAACTATTTTAAATTCTAATCAAACGTGTAACAATTGCGCAACGAAAAGAAATTAATCTTATGTGAGACCATTGCTTCTTTGGCCGAAGTAAAACGGTATTCTCACACGAAATTAAGGTAAGCGAAACGATAATTTTAATGTACGGCACCCGTTGCCCATAAAATTTTATCCCACCGACGATACGATCTTTATTCTATTAAGGAGATATTCATCTCGATTCTTTCTCATCTGGGGGACGGTATCGGATGAGGGCGTCTCGATTCCTTAGCAACGCTCCGCGGTCCGGTCTCTCATTCGTTCTATTCGCCACGGGGAGCGGAGGGAACGCGACCTAATTGCGGGGCTTTCAATGGTGCGGCCATAGAGTTCGATTTTACTTTTTAACATTAAGTTGAAAGCCCGATACGGTTACTCTCGTGGAGACTATTAAAGTCGAATGTCTTATACCAAGTCTTACTTCGATTTCTCAACGTTCAAAATGACAGGCTGAAGCATGAAGGAATAATAATGGATTTATACCAGTAGCTCTGTCTGTAAAACTATCTTCAGTGTTGGAATATTACAACAATTCTCGATACATTCCATGTAGTCTGTGCGTCTCATTGTCAGTGCCCTGTCCCAAAATTCAGGTTAGAAAGAATATTTTTTAAACAATAATAACTTTATCTGGGACCCCGCTTCGATGATTTAAACGCCATAACTACTGTATTAAAATGTGATAAAATACTGCAGTAAAGCCATGGAGCAGCTATCAATAATTTAATAGTCAATTGACAATTAAATTGACTGGAATAGTACCAAAGTCTACTACTTCAAGTCTACTACTTCAGAATATTTAACCGAATTTACACACGTGGTGATGACAAAGTAAACGAACATTAACTACTGCGATAGTTATATTACGGCATGGTATAAGAATGGTAGTCTTTGGTAAGTTTTTTAGTAAATAAAATTTTAAAACGTGTTATCGTTATTTTCAACATCGATTATTTGGCTGTTTTTTGGACTTTGAATATTACTAGGCGTTTGGCTTTTATTACCTCACGAATACTTGGCTCGGTCAAGTACTAGAAGATTCAGATTATATACGATTAAATAAGTCTCTACAAATAAAGTTAGAAACAATACCTATAAAAATTTGGCATTTAAAGCTTGTATAATTTTTATAAGATAACACTAACTTTGTGTTTCGTTTACGTAATACGCGTGATTTTGCTAGCAATTTTTTTTTTTTTACTTTTCAGAAAAACGTAGTCTTCCCAAATAACTTTTGCCACTACATATTAAACAGATCACTTATATATTATAACAAGACATTTTATAACTATTCGAAAACATTTTTGACATGGATTTATCTCCAATGCGCAGTTTTTAAAATAATTTGTAAAAAAATATTATAATAAAATAGAAATATAATTATACAAAAGCTAGAGAATGTGCCATTCGAAGAAAGTACAACACTTGTTAGTTACACTACTGGGGGTTAACCTAAATAATGATGTATGAACTCCTCATTCTTGAAGGGTACAATCGGATACATACAGTCGGGTTTCGGATGGTCTTTTCTAGCTTTAGAGTTGCAAAGATAAGTATTTACGAGATCAAAAAACTTGTTTTGTGATCGTAACACAGAATGACTATATCCTAAGGCAGGGTTTATTAATGCAGGTTAATTAATAATTCTCTGTACCACCTCAAGGTTGACTGGGAGATTGCCTTTGGCGTTAAGTCCGCCATTGTACTATATTTGCATAAATAAATAAATAAATAAAATATTTATGTAAACGCACACTTCGTGGCCCCAACGTGACGCCGTTCCCTCCAGCGAAAGGGCGATACCCGCTGACGACAAATTAGAAGCTCTCGTTGAGCACAAAATCGCTGTCATGAAAATATTTCATTGAATCTCGCCGTGTTTTAATAACGCTCCCCTTTCCGTTGCTGACTTTTTAAATTTCGAATCTTCATTATAATCCTAATGTTTGCCGTGGCCTTTTTACGTTGCCTCTTTTATTCGTATAACATTTTTTTTAAAAGATATCGTGATCTTCAATCAAGGATGAAGTTACTCTTCGTTAAAGACGTGACTTTAAACGCAAGAACAAAATAAAATAAATAAACATATACCTGGAACACTCACGCCCGGTTTCTGAAACATTGATCAACGTAGATGTCAACTAATCAGCTGTCAAATGAATTACAAATTTAATTTTAGTTGCCAAAAGGATGTTTAAACTCTTTGTATTGATCATTCTGATCATAAAGAAGATCAATCGGGTCAATTCAGAGAGTTTAACCATCCTTTTGGTACATTGTAATTTGAAATCCATTTGACAGCTGATTAGTTGACATCTACGATGATCAGTGTTTCAGAAACCGGGCGTAAGCGTTGCAGATGAATTCCAGCTTGATAAAACTATTATATTTTCAATCAGTCTCATATTGCAGACATTAATGGCTCTAATGGCTAACACTACAAATATTGCTTAAGTTAAAAAATCTCCAAAACGTTAATTATTAATGAGTACTCCTGTTAAATAACTGGTATTGGATCTTGGGCTCCGGAGATACTAAGGGAACTCCTGAGAGTCATTAAAATATGTAGAAAAAGTACGAAAAGATTGTCGTCGCTGTGGGAATCGAACCGAAGCATTGCTTCAAATGCTAAGAAAACAATGTAGAAGAATACGTTAAGATTTTCGTCGGTGTGGCAATCAGCCGTTTAGCTCAGTGGCTAGAGCGTCAGGCCGCGAATGCCGAAGACGTGGGTTCGATTCCCACAGCGACGACAATCTTTTCGTACTTTTTCTACATATTTTAATGTTCAATCTTAAGTGCAAAGATTAGCACTATAAACAATTTAAATTTCTAAAAAAAGCAATGGCGACATCTCTCGTTCGAATTATCGTTGTAAAACGATATCCGAAATTGTTTGTATGCTGGAAAGGATATAACAATAGATGGCGCCAAGCATTGCTTCAAATGCTAAGAAAACAATGTAGAAGAATACGTTAAGATTTTCGTCGGTGTGGCAATCAGCCGTTTAGCTCAGTGGCTAGAGCGTCAGGCTGCGAATGCCGAAGACGTGGGTTCGATTCCCACAGCGACGACAATCTTTTCGTACTTTTTCTACATATTTTAATGTTCAATCTTAAGTGCAAAGATTAGCACTATAAACAATTTAAATTTCCTGAGAGTCAATTATAAAATGAATACAGAGCGAGATATTTGAATTCGGTTTTATTTTTCGTTAGTAAAAATGGTCTAGTATTATTTTCAGTTGTAAATGTGATCTAACAGATAGATCTATGACCCTTATCCCTTCTACAATACGGCGTAAATGGCCACTACTTCATTTGAAGCGACCTAATTTATTTATTTATTTAAAGAGCGCCAACATAATGTTACACTATTTAAGACTAAGGATAGTAAATATACATCAAATGTTCGTTAGTGTCATTACAATTAAAGGCGCTGACGGCATGCAATATAATTGGGCGAGAAAAATACAGTTAAAGAGATTTTATAAAAATACAGTTAAAGATTTATTTTTAGATTGTGTAAATACTTTTCTCCAATTCTGGGTTTTGTCCATTAATGGTTTTTTATATCATGTAAAAACAATAAAATAACATCCGTGAACAACTGCATATAACGTTTCAACACAGGACGATCTTCAACAATATACAGTGTAGGTAATGTTTAAAGACGAAGGATAAAAACATGAAATCTTAAAAAATAATAAAAAATTAAAATTCCCTTAATTGTTATCTATTAATCTTGTTTAACTCCTAAGAAACTTACCTTCGTCGAATTTATCAACAATTGTTAATAATTAATAGTTATCAGTTATTAGTAAGTAGTTCGTACTTCTGTGAATGACTTAGCACCTTACCGATTGAAATCATTTTATTTTAATGTGCTTGTCGGCAATTTTATGTTTAAAAACGAAAAGGTTTATAGTTTTTAGGGTTGCGTACCCAAAGGGTAAAACGGGACCTTATTACTAAGACTCCGCTGTCTGTTTGTCTGTCCTCCTGTTACCATCATCATCTCATGAACCGTTGTAGTTAGACAGTTGAAATTTTCACAGACGATGTATTTCTGTTGCTGTCGGAACGCTTCGTGCGCGAGGTCGACTCGCGCTTGCCAGATTTTTTTTGTATTATTTCCTGAGTTCGAACCTCTGTCCACAGGAAATCGAGCACTGCTACTACCACGGCACTGTGAAGGACTACCCGGGCGCGTCCGCCGCCTTCCACACTTGCAACGGAGTCTCAGGCGTCATACACATCGGCAATGAAACCTTCGTCATCCACCCGTTCTACGGCGGCGACTTATCGGTCAGTGTCTATTATAAGCTATAATTACTAGTGGTCGCGCAATGGTCGAAATTATTATTATACGAACCATAATTAGTTATATATGGTAGTGTGTGTAATTTTTTTTTCTATTGATTTATGATAGATAATCAATGTATTTTTATGCCTTATTTTAAAATGATATTAGCATTCTGCACTTCATATTATTGCTTAATATTTCGTATACAATAATTTGAAGAGGTCGAATCATGTAATATGCCGGTAGTGAGTGAGAAAAATTTCCTGAGAAGACGTACTACGACTCTATTAAATGTATCTTCATCTTATTCGCCGTTTTAGAAAGAAGAAAGTGTATGAGTATTATTAATTGACATATTGTATTATCGTATGGCCAAGCGGCAGCTACTGTTGTTGAAAGAGTGATTAGACTCGTCTGAGAAGATACCGTAACCTGACAGAGAACCTATGTGAAGTAGAAATTTAACAGTTCTACAATTGTTTTGATAGGTGAGGTATCCAAGGGCCACCCAAAAATCCAAGCGCACCTCCAAGCAATAATAACAAAAAAAATATTTCGAAGATATGTGAAGTTCGCCAGTCCGCAGTGGGGCCGCGTGGTGGACTATGCCCTGATACCCTCTGTACAGAGGAGGCCTTTGCCCAGCAGTGGGACATGTGTAGGCTGTTACTTTAGTTTTACTCTAAGCATACGTTATTTTAAATGTCCATAGGCGATGGTAATCACTACTGAGGGATCTAACATGAAATGACATAAAAAGTCAACTAATAAAAAATACCAATCTGATTTGATGGAAAAAGTTGAAAAAAGATACAAACAGTGTTAAATACTGCTTTTCAGATTATAATTAGAAAGTAATCCTTATTATTACTACATGAACAAATATAAGTCAGACATTCATTTCAGACAATTTTTATTATATCACAATTAACTAAGCTTTACCTTGGGCTCTTAGACTGATCTAGGATAACAATAGTCAAGCGGATTTATACCTTAACCTGACAAATACCTGAAACATCCTTCAAACTGGTTTCATTATTTAACTACGCCGACAACTTTCGTGTCAAACGTTTGTCGTTGCGTTTGAATTTCATCGTTTCAAACGAAACAATGTCGACGAATTCGAACGTTCGAAACAATGAACGGACCACTACTTTCGTAGCGTTGGACTGAGTCGCCTTTGAATGAAAATGAAAACAAGCAGGAAAGTACAACTAAAACCGGCCAAGTGCGAGTCGGACTCGCGCACGAAGGGTTCCGTACCATTATCTAAGAAAGGCAAAAAAAAATCATGTCTGTTATATGGGAGCCCCACTTAAACATTCTGTTTTTAGTATTTGTTGTTATATAGGCTGTTACTTCTGATGTGTTAACAAAAGTTGGCAATAGAATATTATTGTATTTTAAAATGCAAAAAGCTTGTATTTTCCATGTTGGGGAATCAATTATTTTGACATACGTCAAAAGGTTTTTAATGTCGCACTGTTCACGCTCCGCGAAGTTATATCGACAATGTTTTGCAACGAAACGCCTGCCAACTTTGTTTTCTCCCATTTTTATTAACTGCAATGACATCCAAAAACTCGTTATAATATCTCCTGTTAAGTGCTTTCTTTTTGACTGATACCTAATCTCAAATTTTCTTCACTCAAATTCTCAATCCGCGTTTGTATTCTTTTGGTTTTCTAAATTATCGTCGTGACATAATTACTAGATCAGTATTTTTATTACAGTTTGACCCTAAATTCCCATTTTTAATGATTCAATTTATAAACGTGCGAGAAATTTTTCATTGATAATGATTCTTATAATTAAATCAACTTATACAAATGCAATTCTGATACTGTTGAGTTCGGTCGAGATGAAAGGTTCTTCTTTCCGTGTTTTATTTTAAATCCGCTGTACGTCGCCAGTTTGTTAGAAGCCCGTATTAATGAGACAAATAGAATAAATTTTCTAAACGGCCATTATTTGTCATATGCCACGAGCAGAAATGGTCTGGTGAATTTAATGGCAGCTCCGTGTAATTGCGTACCGGAGGTTTGTTTCGTCGAGTTTTAATTAAAACATTAACGGTTGTTAATTACTTCTGCTGAGCGAACGGGGATCACTCGGCGAAAAGATATTCTTTTTTTTTTTTAATGTCAAAAGTTGCCAAACGAGCTGAAGGTTCACCTGATATTAAGTGAATACCGCCGCCCATGGACATCCGCTACACCCGAGGGTTTGCAGGTGCGTTGACAACCTTTTTGGAAATTGGGCTCCGGCCACCTCACTCACCAGACGAAACGCGAAAGTTTTATACTTCCACTTTACGCCGGTCTTCTGTGAGGTCGTGGTACTTACCCGGACGAGCCTGCCCATTCGTGCAACAGCCAAGGCTACTGCGTGGACTTGCACACGTGCTTGGGATAGCGGATAGGTTGTTGCTCTATAGCAGAATGACATTATACTGCGCCTCACATTGACAAACTAGTGACTAGTGACACACGCTCAATTCCGGAATAATTCTGTGTGCTCCTTCGAAATATTTATATACATACTTATGTTTGTGCGTATGTGTGGCATCGTAGCTTCTAAATGAAAGCTTCTAATGAAATGCTTTTGTTTAAAAGGTGATGTGATAAAGATGGTATAATACGATTGTATAGTACGATCTCCAATTCGAAGGCACGTCATGAAACATACGGGCAATCTCAACTAAAATAATGGTAAACTTCGTCAATTGATAGCGTCCTTAATATGTCATTAATTTTTGTACTACTTCAAAACTAAGGAGCCCAGATATAACCAATGGCTTATATAGAGAAATCATATAAAAACGAAGGAATCTGGCAAATGTCCAATTTGTTGTTGTTTTAATGCAATAAGTCTATAATATAGTCCATAGAATTTTGATACTACATGAAAACCTAACAATAATGCAATGTATAAATGTAATTCGAAAATAATGTATGAAATTCGAAAACGAAAAACACAATCTTTATTCTAACCTTTGCTGTGATTTGCACTCACAATCTCAACATCCTAGCGGCTTATATAGCAATGACCTTACATCAGAAAGAACCAATACGAAATTCGCGGATTTCTCCAAAGCTTTGCATTCATAGAGAGCGATCTAGCTTGGAGGTCAACTGTAGCTCCTTCGCCGTTATGGAGCCGTGAAGATGTGTTCGGTATACAGTCGCGCTCACAAGTGACTCATTACGCGTTCGTAGCGCGATGAAGTGTCCCGGATTGAATGGGTGGTTGAGGCGTTTTCACACGTGCCCGGTTAATTACGTGGCTCTGAAGGCCTGTAACCTATTTTCAGAGGCGCAGCCCTCTAGACTTATAACACGTTACATTGGATGGCGGAAATCTCAAGATTAGTGTCGTTATAAAGCGCTCGTGCGCTTTGTGAAATCGCATGCAGTTCGTAGAATCGATTAAAAGTCAGGTATTAAAAGCCTCACAAGTCATCGATACCCATATCATCAATGTAGGCTCTTTTTATCGATATCCATCCAATCCCTTAGTCGATAACGAAATCGATAGGGCGTTTTTACGTAACTCAACGTCATTGTTTCTGAAAGCGTCGGTCAACGTATCGCCAAATAGCTATTAACTGAAAAACACCATATCTAACGATATATAACGGTAAGCGGTGAAGGTTTTAGGTGAACTAGTCGTCGGCCATTGATCGAAATTCGACTATAATTAATTATACATGGTAGAGTGTGTAATGTATTTTATTAATTGTTTTATTGTATTTTTATGCATTATTTTTTTTTTAAATATTAGCATTCTGCACTTCTTCTCTGTATAAACTATAAGTGTGGTAATATCATACTCCTCCGTCTGTGCAATTTTCTTAAAAAGGTATACAAAGTGTTTGCTTCACGTATTATTATACAGATTACTTGCAACCCGCCCCGGCTTCGCACGGGTGCAATGTATTGTACATATAAACCTTCCTCTTGAATCATTCTATCTAGTAAAAAAATCGCATCAAGACCGTTGCGTAGTTTTAAAGATCTAAGCATACATAGGGACGGACAGACAGCGGGATGTTTGTTTTATACTATTCAGTGATGATAGTATACAGAAACTTCTTGGTCAGTTATAGATCCTAGAATAAAAGGCTAAACACGACTAATAAAATTTTCGCCGAAGTGACCGTTTTACTACACATGACTTATTATCAAAACTTTACCCGTAAACCAAATAAACGATTATATTCTCTACCAATTTTGTATATCTCTACTACGTGTTCAAATTTCCTTCGTGCAGCTTGTGTTAGATTAATCCTTTATTAAATATCACGTGCACAATTAATAATTGATTTTGGCAACGTAACACTTGATCAAGGGGCGTTGTTCAACATTAACGTGTAATTTGAAACGCTATTACGGGGAATATTGGATACTGCGGGATTCCGCGAGTGCTTTTATATAGTACTATAGCACGCCGAACTCAAGCAGCGGTAGTTCAGTAGCTGAAATGTCTTCCTCTAATACTCTGAGGTCACTAGTACTAATCCCAGGAAATTTCAGGACTGAGTTGTCCGCCTTTCCGAACTCTCGTTTACTATTCTTCCTTGAACAAGTGAAAAAAAAAATAGCAACAATCAACAAAACCGAAGTAAGTTTTCTTTTTTTTTTTTGCTCTCACATTTTCTATTTTATTTTGAGGAGTTCCTTGACATATCTCAAGAGTACAAGGTCTTAAACCGAACCGAAAGCAAATAGAATTTTTAAAATCGGTTTATAATCGACGGAGCTGTGAGGTAAGAAACATAAAAAACATACATTCGAATTGAGACACTCTTCCTTTTATATCGGTGATTCAATATCGCCTCAGCGGTTGGTTACACTAGTGTCTGCTTACAACGTTCATATCACAGAAGAAATGCTGAGTGTGAATGCGTGCTGGAATAGCAAGAGTCCGTATCCTTGACACTTTACCAGCTCGCCTAAATTTGTTAGAGCAACAATAGATTACAAAACGGTTTCGGCGGGATTAGACCAGATAGATGGGAAAATAGCACGGCCGCAAAAGACCAACATAAAGTATTTATACTTTTGCGACGACCCAATTGGCTTGGTGAACTTGTCTTATGCGTCAAAGAGTATGATTTGTGTTGATCGCCGCAAAAATATTTTATTAAAAGAATGTAAAAAAAAGTAATACATGACCTTAATACTGATTAACTATTAATACAATTAATTTTAAGGATTGTATTGCTGCTCATTTTAATTTAAAACATCCAACGTTTCAAATGCCTTGCAGCGTAAACGTTCACAGGCTGACGTGAAATGTCTGACGTTTCAACGTCAACCCGTCAGGTGAAAAATATTCTCGTAATAAGTGAAACTTATATAATATTCAAATATACATTTACTAATTACATAGTACACAGTACAAGATTTGTTTAGTTTGGAACTACTGGAGTACATAACGTCGGGTAGTAAATTTTTTTAAATGTTTTATTTGTCATTCTGTTCCGTGAGTGAGGTATATGCGCCACACTCTCAGTGATCGCCGAAATATCGCCAGTGTCGTCAGTGTCTTTTGACAACTCACCATCAGAATATGCTTTGACAGTCTGCCCTTTTTATTTTTAGTTTTTATGCGAAAAGTTGTCAAGCGAGCAGACGGTTCACCTGATGTTAAGTGAATACCGCCGCCCATGGACATCTGCCACATCCGAGGGTTGCAGATGCGTTGACAACCTTTTGAAAATTGGGCTCCGGCTACCTCACTCACCACACGAAACGCGAAAGTGTTTGTCAAATTTCCACTTTACGCTGGTCTTCTGTGAGGCCGTTTGACATCAGCTAGTAAACCCGTCCGCTGAGCTGCAACTGTCAGGCGGCGCTCGAAATGCGAGAGACCGGCGTCGCTTAGTCATTGTCTGTCCAATTGGACCTAGCGCAAACGCGCCGAGCCGGCCCGGGGCCCACAATGGACCCTTATCGCCGGACTACGGGCAACAGACCCGCACAAAGGGTGGGATGAGAGGCCAAGATTAATACGGGCGGTGTCCATTGTCCGACGCGACGCTGTAGTCACCTGTATTCGTTAATTTGCGGCCCCTAATAAATTGACGCAACAGTAGAATTCGGCCCCTCCTTTGCATAATAACTCCCATTGTTTACACTTCCAGGAGGGCACCGAACGAACGTGCCGCGTGGATTTCCAAATTTGCTTTGCTCACAACTTACCTGTAATGGACTTGATCAAAATTAAGTACAATATAATGTGACTATACCTAATGCTCGCTATATTCGGTACCAAATAATCGGTGCCTAATATTCATTACGACAATTATTACATGGTATAGAGGTAGTTTTTCGAAAAAACTATATACCTAAATAAACGATAACTAGATGCGAGTAGGAACGTGGATATAGGTTCTGTTCAAACGAACTGCTGAACATATTTTCGGTATATACTTTTTTTTGTTAAACCCAAAAATCAAACCAGCTGCCCGCCGCCCGGACTCCAATCTTTTTTTTTCGTTTCTGTTTTTTTTTTTTTTTAATAAAAACGTAGCCTTACTTTAGGATAACATTATCCTGCGTTGTAAGGACGTTCTACAAACATAAATTTCACGAGAACAAACACCCAGATGCGAAACAACTATCTGTTGGTCACATAAATAGTTGTCTCGTGTGGGGATCGAACCCACGACCCCCGACACCGAAGCCAATACATTGGCTGCTGCGCCACGGAGTCACCAATCTATAAGTCACATATCCTCATCTCTAGTCGCACTAACTAATAATAATTATATTTCCCTGTATGTCCTATCTAGTCCCAAATAATGTATATACAGGCACTTACACATGATTAACTTTTCTTTCACAAATAAATATTATAATACAATATACAAACACCCAGACACTAAAAAGCACTATGTTCGTCATGCAATATCTTTTCAGTAGTTGGGATCGAACCCACACCTACTGGCGCATGGGGTGTTTAATATCCGCTACGATCTGGTTCTCTAAACACTCAATCATCATGAAAATTTTAAATATGAACAATCTAATGTTTGTTATTCAATTCTGGGATCTGGGAGTCGAACCTCATTACTATCGTTTGACCGGAAAGGGTTCTTTTCGGTCAGACGATAGTAATGAGGTGTACATTGAAGCCTAACGGACTCGATGGAGCCACTGAAGCTTACATTGCGGGGTCTGGCATAAACGTCACAGTTAACATGAAAAATTCACGACTCAATCTTAACTGGCCGAGAGTGGGCCCTGCGAGGGCTTGCAACTGTCTGGCTTTCATAACTCAGCATTCCCCCGAGAGCGCACACCGCTCTCCGCTCCATAATACATAAAGCGCCGGCTTTCTAGCTTGGTTGATAAGAATTTGTCAAAGTCGAATTCCGAATGCATGTATTCAATTAGGCCTGTGCCATCTCTTTTCAACCGTATTGTTTTCTTGTTTTTACTCGAATATTATACAACAAATGAAACTACTTTACGGATTTTATCGCGTTTTTTATTTTGATTTAAATTGAAAGGGACAGTCTGTCCCGTGACCATGAACGCTGGAAAGGGTTCGAAACGTCGGGAGTTTAAATCAAAATAAAGAACGCGATAAAATCCGTAAAGTAGTTTCATTTAATATCTTTTCAACCGACTTTAAAAAAGGAGGAGGTTCAAGGCTCAATTCGACTGTATTTTCTTTATGTTTGTCACCTCGGAACTCTCGACTCAATAGAACCGATTTTGATGATGCTTTCTTTATTTGAAAGCTGGTGCTACCCAAGTGGTTCCTTAATAATTTCATTGGTATTGGCTCATTGCCTCCGGAAATACTTAGGTAACTCCTGAAAATCAATAATAAATGAATACAGAGCGAGATATTTGAAGTCGGTTTTGTTTCTCGTTAATGAAAAATTTACTTGTGTGTGTTTCTATACAGAGTCAGGTCATATTCGGACCAAACTCTGCGACCCTAACCATTTGTTTAATAGTTTCAACTCGTTTGATTAGGTTTAGTTATTGCTCAGTGGAACTCGGTGTACTCATGAAGTTAACAAACCCGTGCCATTACCATTTATAAGAATTCAGTTAATAGTTACTAAAGCGGAGAAAAAGCAAAACCATATACGGTAAAATCTATAAAAGAGAATTGAAAAAATAAGGAGTCGTCAATTCTTTTCTTTTAATATTGGTTTTTTTTTTTTTAAACTGAATGATTCAATGGTTCGATTTGTGGATTTGAATCGTTTAAGAGGCATTAAATAGAAAAAAATAAGAGCGGGGATAATTGCAGAGCATAAGTGATTTCCTTACAACTTGGCCTGTTCCCTCTTATTTCACTCGAAACTGCCCATCGCTTTATTTTCCTATAAAGTATACTTTGGGAAAATAATACATAGTTTCAGGTAGTATTTTTCAGTACTCTAGAACATATATTACAACGAAAGTGTTCAAACGTATTTGATCGTACGTATTGAGCTGTGACTTGGTCAGATCCATGTTAGAGGCAGCCGGTATCAATAATAATCGTAATGTATACTAGGAGTGTTGTATACTACTAAAATACAATAAAAAATAATTATTGTCTTCTCGTTAAATTAAATGTTGTATCTTCTTTTATTCTGCAATTTTTCATTTTTTTTATGAAAAAGTGGCAAAAGAGTGATAACCGCCGCCCACGGACATTTGCAACACCAGTTGCAGATGTGTTGCCACCTTTTAATAGTGTGGGCCGCGGCTACCTCACTCACCAGACAAAACGCAGAAGTGTTACAATTCTACTTTACGCCGTTCTTCTGTTAGGTCGTGGTACTAACTCGGACGGACCTGCCCATTCATGCAACAGCGAGTACTGTTGCGTGGTCCTACCACACTAAAATTCTTCACTTCTATTTAATTTCAAAGTAAACAACTAATTCGTATTTCATGTGGTATGTAGTACGAATTTTTTTAGTTGTTTCTCTTACATTAGCACCCGTCGAAATAAATGACGGCACAAAATATTTTTTATTGAGAACTACATCCTCATACTACATTATACTTTTCCTCCTCTCCGATTTCGTTTAATACTGTGCTATCCCTTTCAAACGCTCAATCTTATTTTGCCAATAAAACAAAACCATCACTGGTAATCCAAATTTCGCTTCCGCCTGATAATTGGGACCGTTGATGATGCGAACGTCGAAATCTCCGCTGAAGGACTATCTGTGTAGCACTACTCACAAACCGCATTCGCCTCACACTTGGAACTGTCGTCAAAGTGTCCTGTCGTGCACATCCGTCAAACACTATTACCTTACTCCACTTCCGCTTCCGTCTGCCACGTGCGACCTCTGTCAAACGCACCGCTAACGTCCAGTCCGTCAAAGCCGCGTGGCGGCCGTGGCTGGTGACGTTTGCCGGGGCCCCGATAATCCGGACTCTTATCTGTGGCCGCTGCATAAATTTCCCGCAACACTTGGACGCGGGAACGGCTTTACGGGCGGCACTCACGCGACAAATCCCCTTTTTGCCCACGAGATAAGCACGCGGGACGCTAAAGGGACGTAATTCTAATTAAGTGACGAGCAGTCTGCTTATTTTCTTATTTTAAACGTCGCAGATTCACACAGCCAAAAATTCGATTGTCACATTTTCTTTTTGTGATAGTGAGTAAATAGTTTTTTAAAGTGTCCAATCTTTGGATATATTTGGTATTTTGTTCAATACAAAATGTATTCGGCAAGGAATAATTCTGATATAAGATACTGAAATAATGGCACTGTTTTTTGTCTTTCGTAATTTTAAAATAATTTTATTATTTATGGGCAGTTTATTTAATATTTATGTTGACTTAATTTTTTCTTTTTACCAAAAACTTGGATATAGATCGAAAGTCCTACTCAAACCGGCATCAGCCACTCTAAAATTCCCATATTTAAGTTTAAGTTAATTAACAATTCAATTTCAAGCCTGCCGGATCATGATTTATATGAAAACTGTACATTTCAAAGGCCCATTGTCTCCTTTGTGTTGCAAAATTTCTCTGAGACATCGGTAATCTCGGTTACAATTTCAATGGCGGCGTCGTGAGAGGCGGGGAACTCCCGTCCTCTCAAAACCTTACGACGAACCTGCTTTGTGATCCGTACTTATTCTACAACGGCCCATAATTAATCTGACGAACACATCTGCAGATCGGGCCACGAAATACGTTGCACATGAGCAATCTCACAAAGCGTAACACTCTATGATTCCGCTGTTTTCTGTTTATATAAATTCTTACTCAAACTCGACACAACGTTGCCCGATGACGATGACTCTGTGGCGGAGTTGCTGAAAAATTGGCTTCGGCACCGTAGGTCTTGGGTTCTTCTTATATAAAACTGCCTTACAACACAGGTTAATGTTATCCTACATTAAAGGGGGAATGTTTTCAAGGGGAAGACTACAATAAATCGCAGTGGTCGTAGGGACTTACTACCCAACTCGTCCGACACTTAGTGCAAATACCAAAATAACGATATTATATTCAAGGCAGGATAAGGTGGCATTGCAATCAAAAATGTCCGATTTCTGTAATTTAGTGCGGTGCGGCCGTTATTAAGCGATCCCGGCGAAGGCGTAGCGGAATTACAATCCGCCCCGCGCCGTAATTAACTGTAATCGTTTGCTGGCTTAACGAGTTCTCGAGTGCTAAATAAATGCGCGGTGACGGCTCCGCTTAATGCGGGATTAAGGCCGCGGCTCTGGAGTGTAAGGCACAGCTTCCTTGCGAGCCTGTCTACTTGTGTAACGCAATTTTGTATAATCATACTGAGCTCGAGGTACTTGATTACTTACGACTTTGGCGACTTTGATTTCTTGAATTCATCACTCTTACGTACGTGATGTATAGTAGTAGTTGTTTATTTTTTATGTAACATGGCGAGCGATTGAGCGGTACACCCAATGTTAAGTGATAACCGCCGCCCATAGACATTTTCAATACCCGTAGGTTTGTAGATACGGTGACACCTTATAATAAAGTGGGCCCGGCTACCTCATCCACCAGACGAAACGCAGAAGTGTAACACTTCCACTACACGCCGGTCTACTATGCGGTCGTGGTACTTACCCAGACGGACCTGCCTATTCAACAACTGTGCAACGGCGAAGACTTCTGCATGTTTACTGCCTAAGCCCGGATAAAGATGGCGTCCACATAACACCGAACTATAAGCCTGTCGGCACGGCGAAGCATTTTCAGAAATGATTTTAACAATTTTTACAAATTTTGGCATAATTATTATACGTAAAGCACCGTTTTATACTATTAAAAAGAATGTCTTATATGAAAAGGTGTATATATAGGCATTTTTTTAAAATTGTTTCACCGTTGATTAATGGTAGAGTCAACAATGAATCGCATTCTGCTATTACCATGAATATATTCTTGGTGAATGCGAAATGCGACGTCAATGAGTGGCTCAGTTAATATTCAAACGCTTGACTATAATCCATCCCGCTCGCTGAGTGAATTCCTTTAAGCAACAGCAAAGATTAAAACATATTTTACTTTCGGAGGTAGCGGGGACAAAATGAAATACAACAGATTATGTTTTCTTACAATAACAGATAACATTGTGTATATTTATTTAGTTTTATGTTTACTTTATTGTAGATAAATAGGAATAAAAGTCAATAAAATGACTTAAAGCGTAGGTACAAACATTAAGATGCTATGACTTTTGACTTTGATTATAGTTAAGTATCTGTATCACAATAAAACAGATGTCGTGTGCGGAATATTCACAAATGTTTGATTGACACATTAACTTTTAAATATTCGTCTCTAACTCCCATCGTCTCTCCCTTTCCCGTTTTTTAGTTCACTCTCTTTCTCTCTTATTCAATTTAAAAACATCTCGACGTAAACGTAATCCAGGCTAAGGCCACCGATTGTGTTCACGCCCGCCTCTCACACCGTTCACGACACGGGCGCTCACTTGACCCGCTTGACGACCGCCGACATCGTAGCATTTGTAATCCCACGGTGTGATGGACGCCCACTTCATCGCAGAAACCGTGAGCGAAGTCTAAAATGCTTTGATTATATCAACATTCAACCAAAACCAGCCTGGTAAGGTTTTTATTCGCGAAAAGGCTAATTTTATTTTAAATTTAAATAGAATTTTGTTGACAAACAACTGGGCATACCGGGTTTCTGGAACTGATAATTTATAATGAAAAGTAAAAACCTAATTTTTTAATTCGAAATTAGAATACTCTAGAAGCGTGTTTTTTTCCATTAAAAACATTCAACTTTTTTTTTATATGAAAATCTGCCAAACGAGCAGATGGTTCAGCTGATCTTAAGTGAAGACCGCCGCCCATGGACATCTGCTACATGAAATTTGGTACACAGATAGCCTAGAGCCTGCGAAAGGATACAGGCTATGTTTAATTGGAAAAAAGTGTTATAAAGGGTTGAAAGATATATATTTAAGGGCCTCAACGCGAGCGAAGCCGTGGGCGAAAAGCTAGCAATAAATAAACAAAACAATAAAAAACGAAACGGTGTCCAGAGACTTTAATGAGCATTCAGTGATAAAAGTCGATGTTGTAGCTCTGTGTATTCGTACTTCGGAGAATTTAGACGCGGACGTGATATCCATATCGATTGATACCGTGAAATGTTAAAAAAGATTGATGACTGATCAATAAGAGTTAATTTCAAAGACCTTAATTTGAATTTTAATAGACATGACTTACTTTAGGCATTGAGGAGCACAGTTGAAAATATTAATAAATTACTTTGTGCTGATATCCAATAGACGTCGTTTCATGTTTAAGGTGAGCACTTCATCGACACATAGGCGTAGAAATTCTCAACCGAGTAACCGAATCTGCTATCGTATTTGTGGAGTATATATATATGTTATATATACCAAAGACGGAACAGTGTGTAAGACTACAAAACTACGGTGCAAATTTAACTTGATCACGTTGCATAAAGGAGCCGGGCTAAGGATTTCAGACGTGCACATGTAGAACACTCCCCAACTATTCGCGTAGAATAAAACTTGTAGCGATTTTTTTTTGCCGTTTTTATAGATAATAGTACGGAACCCTTCGTTTTTATAATTCCATTATCCTTCCATTAATCTAAAAAACCATTACGAATTCCTCGCGATCTTTCCGTTCGCGTCTGTCTCAAAAAAAAATTACAAATCCTACTATATCTCATTACTGCTCTGTTACACAAAATTTCTTTACCGCAATCTCTTACACACAGTCCATCTTCGTGATTGTTTTCTCTCGCCTACATAAAGCTTTCCTCCGTCCTGTCGAAATTTCAATATTTTGGGCGTTCCGTTTCAACCTGACCTCGTATGAACCTCATTCGTAGAATCTCCACCGTCTGTACGTATATGTCATAAATTTGCATTGGTAGATAGACAGGAGCGGGTTCCATTGTGACGCAAATCGTATTATGCATGTGGTAGGATCCTCAGCATTAAATTACGGTAGGTGCCCGGTTATTGTTGGGTCGTATCTGTTTGTGCAGATTCGAAATTCGAATGTCGCTGTTGTCGTACTGGGTGCTGAACGAGCTGACACAGAAAATGAAATTAGCAAGTTCAGTGTATCGTTAAATTGTATGTATATTTTATTGTTTATGTGAAAAATTATCATGCCTATGTATAAGCAGGGAGTGGTTATCAATTTTTTTAAACAGTGTACTCTAACACATTGGCCTGTGTTTAAACAACATCTTACATATATACTTGTTTTCCTAAAATAAGGGCGTTTTTAAAAAGAAAAAAAAATCAAAGAAATACTAATGTCACGCGGATAAAGACTCTTAAGAGAAACAATATCTATGGGCCACACATATGTATGGTTAGCGATCAAATGTAGTAAAAATCATGTAATCTCTTAAATTAAATCCTTGTACAAAATAATTGTTAAATAATTTAACGGGTTTGTAGTGACCTGGTTCGATTACTACCTAAGACTATATCGTCGCTTTCTATCAGGTGTGGCCGTCATGCATAGACACTTCGACCAAGAAAAATAATTTACACGTCCTGCGTAACGGTAAGTTTACGGTGTAGGAATCGAACCTGCGATCTAGAACCACCTATCATTTGAACCAGCACCGACACATCCAAACGTGCTGACAAGCGAATTTGTCAGGCTCAGTCGGAAATTCGCAGACGTGATAATCTTGAACAATGCCTTCCTAAACAAACACGTCCATCATGTTATGTATAGAATTTTACATACGTATTTGCATACTTATCGACCGTACACTACACGTTATCACCATTGGGCTTTATCTATCTGAAGGAGATGATTTATGAAGCCTCAGATCTGAAGGGACATACGCACGCGTGGTTAAGCAAGCCTACTTGTGACTCGCAACATTCATAATCATAAGCATAATCATCTTTATTTGCAGAAATATGGTAGATAAAGATTTTCAGTATAGATAAAAGTACAGACACATTTCGCCTTATTGGCATGCAAATATTTCACAAATATATAATATAATTAATACAAACGCAATCTAAGTCAATCAA